AGGACTAATACCACAGTCAAAAAGCTATGAGAGAAAGCTTCTGTGTAAAACTGAGGGCAAAAAATTATTTTCCAGGGTTTGCTTTTTACTGAGTTCAGAGGAACTGGTATATTGTAGGAAACAATGCTTATCACTGGAAAAAGTAAATAGGCTTTCATAGGGAGAGGAAATAAACACCAGCATTCATAATTAGGAGGCAATCTGACAGAGAGCAACCTTCTAGATACGAAGAACTGGCCAGATATTACAGTTGAAAACAAGAAATTAAGCATTTTTTTCCCCCTCTTGACCTATTTGATTGTGATTTAAAAAAATTTAATACTGAAGGACCACACTCCACCACCTGGTTCTGCAAAGCAGGAGCTTTCAAGAGCATAGCTATTATTAGGAAGACAAGTGCTTTCCTAACCTACCGGATAGGATTTCTTACTTGTCTGCCCAGCTGATTGATAGGTATTTCTTATTCTGCAGTTCCCAACACACTGTCATGCTTTAATATGACTGTTTAGTTCTTAGTCATTGTTACTATCCATGTTTACTGTACTAACAAAGACCTGAGGACAACCATTAAGCAGTTCCTGGAAACGTGAGCATAGCTTAATTTAATCAACATGAATTAAAGGATTTTCTGAGCTTAAAGTAATCACTCCATACTCTCTTCTGTTTCACTTGAAAGCTGTTTTTTCTGAAAACCCTGTGCTGCATTATTTCTCCTACCAATAAAAACACATTTTTCCTTTCTTGGTCCTTTCCTTGAACCTCTCCTGTCACGAGAGAAAGAAGCACTTCACAAGTGTTCAACACCCTTTATTTCAATCATAGTCTAAAATATATTAATTAACAAACAAACAACAAGCAGATCAGAGTAAATACATCCCCAAAAAAATAATGTGAATAAAACTAATAAAATATCAATGGAAACAATAAAATCTGGGTAAAGACGAAAAGCACTCAGTCATATTATTAGACAGAGCTATCCATTAAAACTCACGGGATCATGTGAACCTGGCTACAGCTGTACAAGAAGCAGAGTCCAAGTCAGATCTCAGCTGCTTGCTGAAATTAGAAGGGTGAAGGTCAAACAAGCAAAAGCAACAAACCAGACACTAGCAGCTGTAATCGTATCTTCGAGCAGATTTCGGGACTATACAGATTAAGAGCGCTACAAGTCAGATTACCTGAAGGTTTTATGTTTCTACATTCTGAAAATGCCATGCATATATTCAAGCTAATTGGCAGTTAAGTGTTCATCCATACCTCCCTTCATTGGTTGTGATATCAGAACCACACGCTCCGTTTTTAGAATTTCAAATGGTGCAGAAGCACACTGCTTCTCTTCTGGGAAAAGATGGGATCTCTGCCTAATTAGCCCATGATTACAGAATTTGCACCTACTCCTCTCTCAGCCACTTGCTGATCATGACTTGTCTAAGACTCATTCAAAGCACCATATATCTGGCTAACATACTGCTGACTCATTATTACCTGTGAAAGCAGGAGTCTTGTGTGAACCTCTCCTAGACAGTCAACTTTCCACTGATGCTGTTCAAGACTTCTGTGTTATACGAACTTCACTATTTGTCTGAAGTGTGCAAGAAGAGAAAGATCTTGGTCCACAACCAAGAGTACTTCAGTGTAGGGATTCACAAACAACTTGCTCAAGATGAAATACAATTTTAATTGAATGAGCAAACTTTGCCTGGCACTTTCAAGTCAAACCTTTGAATTGCCACGTCTAACTACATATTAGTTTCATTGTTCGTATGCCTTACAATGCAAGACGATCTTATTCTTCAGTGGAAAATTAAAGTGATTAGAAGTGCATACTAGAGGATTTGAACTGTGTTTGTCCTTAACTTAGACTAAAATCACGTTGTGGGAGCATAGCCCTTTACCTTTTCATTCTTATTCCCACTTCACAGCCCACTGTATAAACATTTCTAAGATGGTGTCAGTTTGTGAAAAACTTGTAACCACAAGTTACAACAAAAAGTTATTACATTGTAGGTCACACTAATTATATGCATAAAACATTCCTCTTCAATGACAGTTAAAGAATACTCAAAAATAAACATCAAACCCCAAGAAGTTCGGAGACTTAGGTGAAATTTCTGGAATGCAACATCCATAATACTTCAATTCTGCCCGTGAAGAAGCCTGCCCAATATCTTTCTAGCTTTATGCTTGAGTCATGAAAAAAAACTCCGCAAAGGTCACTTTAAATTTATTTCTTATGTTATTTTTACTAACTTATGTTCTCTCTTTTTGTATTTAAACTGAAGACAGCTCATACAGGTTTTTGATACATGCTTGCTTTATTTAGTTACAGAATAATCTTCTAGGATTTGTTTCTGATTTATTGTGTTAATAGAAGTGTGTTAAAATAAGGAATCTACATCAAATGAATTGTATATATCAGTAATTTGATTTGGGAAGCAAAGTACCTAATGTAACAAATGTAAGGAAAGAAAACCTAAATTTGTTCAAAGTATATTATTTCTGACAGTACCTCTTATTTGATTGACAACAAATTAGAGTTGATAGCTACTCTGAGTACTTCAGCTCTAAGGGAAATCTAAGTGGTCCCTTTAGTTCGAATTAGGAAAAAAGATTACATGCTTGGTATTGGCTTTATTTATTTACTAAAATCAGTACAACCTTGTTAAAACTGAATCGTGTATCCCAGTCTTACAGTCACCTGTCCATTGTGAATGCCCAAATCAATCCGTCCTTAAGCCTGGAGAGAATCATTTTATCTAAGGCTGGACTCACAGCCAAATTTAAATGCCTGGTCTGATGACACCCTTCTAAATTTCAAAATCAGTGTCTGAGATCTTCAGTGTTCCTTGCAACTCTCAGTCATTTTCCCTATAATCCTTCTGAGCTGGTTTCATAGAGGCTATGGACATTCAAGGCTTTAACACCCCCAGGACAACTCTGCAGGGAGACAAGAACACTGCTGTAGGAGAGCAATTTGCTACCCACATGCTATTACACCAAAAGTTCCAGAGAGTTCCTCAGTCTATGTACATTTTCCTCCCACACCTTGTAAAGCTGAAATTTGGCATACTTCACCATAATCTTACTCACTTACCCCCTTCCCATCCCCTCACCCTCCTGCATCTTTCCTGCCGGCTGCCAGGCCATCCCAGCCCTTCAGCTGTGCCCAGCAAGGCCCCTGTCCCACATGTGCAACCCCTGCGGAGAAACTCGTCCCTCCACAGAGACTGGCCCTGGCCTCCTGCCTTCAGTTTGCTCTAAAAAATATTCGTTAGAGATTTTCAAAACTGAGAAAAAATTATACTTTCAGCTGGTTCGAATAACGAAAAGCAGTCAGCTGAAGGCCCTAAATTAGACTTGATCAGTTAAAAGTCATCTTCCAGCTGTCATGCACCTTCTCTGAGCAGCAGGGACATCTGGAAAACACTTAACAGCCACCTATACTTCAGACGTGCAGGGCACCTAATGCAGACTCAAAACAGACAGATATATCCCACTCTGCTACTGGCGACTTTCCAGACATACCCTATCCCCTGGAAATATGAATATTAAATTACAAAGACATTTTACACAGAAATATTTCCTAAGTTGGCTGGCGAGGGCTCCTTTGGTCTTCATATTCAAGTTTCTCCTGAAGATTTACAAGCAAAGCGTGAATGCTGCTCTCTCTCCACATCTGCCTGGAGAAGGGCTGTTCACTCCGGCCTGCCACCCCACACACCGCTCCCCCACGTCTTCCTCTGTCACGCCGACCAGGCCCCAGATGCCTGAGGGACCGGCCAGACGAGCCCGCGCAGCCATGAGCGGCCCGGGCTCCGTGAGGCAGCACCAGCACGACTCTCGTCCTCCCGCCCTGCAGCCGGGACCCCGCGGGCTCGATCCCTGGCGCTGTCGGCAGCCGGACATCGCACTCGGCGCCGACCGCGGCCGCCTCGGCGGAGCCCGCCCGGCCCGGCCCGGCCGCTCCCGGGCTTTTGGCGCCAAGCTGAGGCAGCGCTGCGGCGGCCGCGCCCGGGACCGCCCGCCCTGCGCGCGGCTCGGCACCGTGCGAGACTTACTGGGCGGCCTCGCCCCGGCCCCGGGGCTGGGGGCTCCTGGCGGGGCGGCGCCGCGGGCCCCGGACGAGCAGGGGAAGGGGAAGGGGCGGGGGCGGCGTGGAGGCTCCTCCCGGGCTGCGCTTCCCCGGGCGGGCGGAGAGCGGCGCTGGGTCCCCGCGGCGCACGCTCCGCCCGAGCCTCCCCCTCTCCCGGCCGCCGCCGCCGCCGCTGCTGCCGCCACCGAGCCGCTCCCCCTCCCCCAGCCAGCGCTCCCGAGCAGGAGCCGACGCGCCGCGGAGCAGGAGGCGGCGGGAGCCCCCAGGGCAGTGGCCGGCGGGGTGGCGGCGGAGCGGCGAGCACCACCCGGCACGGAGGCTGCTCAATGCTGCACCTTCCGGAGCTGCATGAGGTAAAGGCGGCTCCGGGTCCCGCTTCCCCCCGTGCCCGCTCCCCGCTCCCCGCGGCCGCGGGGGTGTGTGCGCGGGGCCGGGGCCGCGGAGAGCTCTTTGTGGGCCCGGCTGGGTGCGGGGCGGCGGGGCGGTGGGGAGGGTGCGGGGCGAGGGCTGAGGGGACGTGAAGTTGCGGGAACAAATGGAAAGTGGCGAGTGGCCGGGCCCCCTCCCCGGGGGGGTTCCCGGCGGCGCAGGGGGGCGGGCGGGGGGCTCGGCGGGGCAGGGGGGCCACGGGGGGGTTTTGTTTGCGCTCGCCGCCGCCTCCCTCGCTCTCTCCCTCCCTCCCCCTCTCCTGTTGGCTTCTCTGCCTCCCGATAGTTTTGAGGCCTAACTGTTTAGGCCTCGTCTCTCGGCTCCGGGGCCGCTGTGCCGGCTCCGAACCCCCCCCGGCGCCGGGAACGGCCCCTCCGCCCCCCCCTGGGCCGTAAGGGGCCCTCGGCCGCGGGGCATCCTTCGATCGGGCCGCAAATTTCATTGTAAAACCGTCGGCTGCGAACTAACAGTGTTGGGCTGGAGCAGCTCCGCAATGAAAGGAGGCGCTGGGGGGGAGCGGAGGGGCCGGAGCCAGGGGGAGAGGCTGCGGGCCGGGCCCCGCTCCCGCCGGGATGCGGCGAGGTCAGCGCCGGGGGGCGCGGCCGGCGGGGCGAACACCCGGGCCTTCAGCGAATTGAGGGTGAGGAATGGAAAAAGAGGGTTAGAAAGTCGTTTCCATTCTGCTGAACTTTTGTTTTCTAACCGATAGAGGCCGGTAGAGGACTGTGGAGAAGGAAAGTTTATAACCAGCAGTGCCAGGATGGACTTCCCTGCTACCCAACCAAAACCTGCTGCCGACGGTAAAATCATCTACTATCCTCCTGGAGTGAAGGAGATTACGGACAAAATTACCAACGATGAGGTGGTTAAACGGTTAAAGGTGAGCATCCCCCCTTCCCTGCCACTTCTGCTCGTTAAGGTAAACATTTTTTCACTGGAATGGAGAACTGCCAGAGATTCCTTGTCCTTGTTGCCTGCAGACATTCATGGGAATACCACTTCCTTGCTTTTCCTTAAAAGAGGAAGACTCGTTTTTGTAATTCACGACTGTTGTCTTGCAAGTTCTCTCAACGCCAGAGTTGATACATTAAACTGCTAATTTGTACATGAAACACATCCACAGGTTTGGGGAGAGATCTGAAGTGGAATCATAGGTAATACTTACAGGATGTATTAGCAAAATTTTTTGGCAAGCGAGAAAGTTTTTATGAGTTTCAGCACTTTAAGCAAGTATAGTAGATCTAGTTAAGGGTATTCTTGACTGAAAAGACAGGACTGTTCACAAAAAACAGAGATTAATTTCTGGAGTTTTTAGATGGAATTTTGAAGTTGTTTCATGTGTAAAACCTTCCTCAGACTTTGCACTTTAATATTATACATATTGTTTCTTTCCTACTCAGTATAATTGGTGTCTGGCAAAGTTGCTAAATTTTCATAAGTAAAAGAGATTGTTATAGAAGCATCCTCTCTGCTTGTTTGACAGCATCCTGGGAGCCTGTGAGGCTTATCTCTGATTTTTATTTTGTTAATCCCTTTTTCCACTGGGAAAAAAGTGAAATGCTGCTGTGATAGAGTGGTATTATTTCTTAACTCTATGCTGAAAATAGAGAATAAAGTTGAGCATTGATCAAATATTGACACAGCTCGTTTGTTAACACCACGGTCTTTGGACCAGAAAGTTTCTGTAACCTGGGATTTGGTCCCATGCCCACATTGGATATGTAGTAATAATTTTTAGAGATTGGAAATATTCTGTCATCTGGTGATCTGTGTCCCATCACAACAGTGACCCCACAAAAACTGAAAAATAGAAACCAGAGTCTTGACTAGTCAGTTAATACATTGAAAAGTTGTCTTAGCTATATATGTGAGGAAAATGTAGAGTTTGTGCTTTACTTTCAAAGCAGCATGGCACATGTCAGTTGTTTCATTGAAAATGAACCTTGTTGTCCATTTACAGTTTTGTGGACAAGTCCTGCCTAGTATTTTTAAGACTCCAGTGGAATATGGCCAGTTACAGGAGAAGATCCTAGATTTGTGATTATTTAGACAGGCACCTTGGATCAAAGTCTGTGGAATGGGAAGAAGTGCAGTTTTGAGGTGCTTGTTGAAACGGGTATTCTGTTTTGTCCCAGTTGGAGGACTTGCAGTAGTGAGCTGTGTCATTCCTAGATAATAGGAATAATAGAATTTCAAAATCCTGTATATATGTTTTGCTGAATTCACGTGTGTGTGCATGGATTGAACATAATTTTGAGGCTAAGAGCAGAATTTTTTCTGTCTGTTTTTAGTGAACTAGTGTTCAGGTGGCCAAAAGATTTTAGACTAAATGGGGAAAAAATACTTTGCTAGTCCACTTACATCACTGAAAAGACAAAGATTTTTCTTACCATATTGGTACTGTTTAATCTGAGTTTGAGGAAGTTTTTTGGTCAGATATTGGCTTTACTGAAGCATCAAGAAAATTGGAAGTACTGTACATTCTAGAACAAAGTAGGTTTTTTTTATACTTTTGTATAGATATATATATAATCTTTATGTAATCTGTTCTTCTTTATATCAACTTGATTTATAAAAGCAAATTCATTTTGGTATCTAGAATATTATGATGATGCAGTGCATGGGATGGAAATGCTTGAAAAAGATTTGTTCAGTTAAAAGATAACTTTCCTGAACTTTAAATATGACTTAATGATAAAAGCCAGCTTTAGCAGAATGTACAAACTCAGGCATGAATCAGTTCTTGAAACTGTAGATTTTTTGCCTGCTTGGCCACACGTGAGCTAAAGATGCTCTTATAGAAGATGTTTCTTACACAAAGTGCATAGGCAGCTTAACTTAGGGTTTTGGCCACCAGGCTCTGGATCAGTTCCTGCAGATTTTGGTTCTTTTAGCGTGTTGAAGTCATGGTCAACTTAATTGGTTACAAATTTGTGTCCTTATTAGCAAATTTTCTGATATCACATCTGTATCTGTATTTTTGTGACCAGACCTCTTCTCCTGATGAAAGCTTTTCTTATTATTGGAACTTGAGACGTTCTGGGCACCTGTCCCAGAGTGCCTGAGCAGCAGCTTTTGTGCCAAGGACTTTTAAAAAGAATGTTTTTGTATCCTTTCCCTCCTTCTGCTTGGGGTTGTGGGTAGTAAAATGTAGGCCAGATACTTTCAAAGTGTTTTGATACATCTGTATGATAACATTATTACCATCCTGAAAATGAAAATATTGAGAATTTTAAAATCAACATGCATCTTTTGAGCGATGTAGGAAGGAAAAGGCTCAGGGTTGCATATGTATGGCAAAAGAAGTGCAAGTTCAGGTGCTTAATGGAGTCAAAGGTAGTTTCTGGTGTGTTAGATTACATTGATGGGTCGGTACCTTAGAGTGGGACAGCATGTGATAATGTATAATTTCAGCTGCTGAGGAAGTGATTTTAACTGTGGTGTGCTGTGGCTGGGGAAAGTGTCCATTTAGTAGATCCAATTACGTTTAACCAAACTAGGCAGCTGGCATGTAGGAATGTTGAGGTTTACTTTACTTTTGACTACAAAATGATTTTTTTTTTCCTTAGGTCAGTCTTCCTTTTTACAGGGCAACTCTTTCAAGTTATATAGTGATTGGTTTCAGGGCTGTAAATCCAGTGCTGGCCAATTTGGGTCAGGCTTGTGGAGAGAGGTGATAACTTTTATTTAACCAGGTGATAGAAGGGGAAAACAAACAATTCTAAGGCACCCAAGTACCTCTCCTTCAGTTCCAAACCAAGCCAGCAACTAAATAAAAGTTGAGAGCCGTTGTACTAGCAGTGTTATATTTCTTTCCATAAGATAGCTGAAGGTTGAAAGAAGTTTTAGAAACTTGGCATCTGCTTTACTGTGAAGCTTCTCTACGACTACTGAAATTTTTTCAAAATGGACTTAATTTTACTGCCTTGTTAAAATTCTGGACTTGTATACTGCTGTCAGTAAACTATTACATCTCAGGTATAACTTTGCGTGATCACAAGAGAATATTTTGATGTCATTTATATAAAACCATGTAGTAATGATGAATAAGATTTATTGTAGGGTATTTAATTGTCAGATGCACTACCACTAGCCCCATCAATCCAAAATGCATAGGGACTGACTTTTTCGGAGACCGATGTAAACAGTCCTGGTAGGCAAAGCCAGAACTGCCACCGAAAGAAGTGGCACTCTCTGATGCTTGTCCCAACCCCAGTTCTGTACCCTCTCTACAAGTATTTGGTTTTGCTGCACACCAAAACGGATGGGTCAACAGATCCAGGTTAGCCCTAACTATGTTAATTTTAACCTGAACCATTTTCTTATGTGATTTATCACGAGAGCTCACAAATAATTGGGCTGGCATAGGGGAAAAAGCAACTTCTTTCCGTGGCAGTCCTACCTTGGAACGTTGAAGGAACTTCACAGTCAATTTGAATGTGAAAGTTTGCAAATGTTTTCTTTTGAGATAGAGGTGGGGACTTCTGCATTATTTCTGCAAAACTATCTTGCCTGCTAGACCTTTTACCATAAAAGAAATACTATAAGATGGGGAGTTCAGGTGCAGCTTTGTACTAAAGACTATACAGTTTGGTATAAGTGTATGACAAGTCTGTAGAAAAACAGAAAATATTTTCAGTGCAGGATTTTTTTACCTGTAGATATCAGTGTAAGCAACACCGATTCATAAAATCTGTAAAAAAAAAACCATTCAGGTTTTTGTTTTGAGGGGTTTTGGGGGTGGAGAGGGTGATTTTTCCTTTTGTTTTTCAGTCTGTCTAGTAGTCTTGTTCCTTTTCCCATGGTGACAGTCTGGCAAGGCATTTTCTGTGAAAAGTTTTGTTTGATTTGCACACCCCGCACACCCTTTAATTCTCTCTCCAATAGTCCCCCTGCCATCCCACCCCAAGGCCTAGCTTGTGATCATTTGGAGAAGTTAGCACTCCTGGTGTGCCTTGAAGTCTTCCTTATCTTGTCCCATGGCATTTCTTAGTTATCTGATATGTATTTGTGCCAGAGTGAAACAAACACTCCCTCTCCTTCTTCCCATTGTCTTTCTGTTTGTTCCTCTTGATATTAGGTATTGGCCTCTTTGTAGTTGGGCCTGTTACATTTTTATCTTCATATCACTAGAAGTAGCTGATGCTAGCAATTTACCTTATCATGCACAGGTTTTTTAGGTATCTGTTACATAATGTTAAAATTGAGAAAAGTTATTGTTGCTATTTGAATGTTTTGGAGTAGATTGTAGTTCTGTGAGAGGAAACAAAAGCTACTCTTTGCTCACTCTGATATTTCTGCATAAGTTAATGGCCACTCTCTTAAGATTGTGTAATTAGATGGAACTTTGACCTGACTTGGCTGTGCCAAGGTAGTTATTTTGAACAAGACTGAAAAATACAAATTAGAATATCATCTGGGAGAAGAGAATCTGTTTTCCCTCATGTCACACACTAGAATTTGGTATGTTTGAGGGGAAAAGGTATACACATATTAAGTATGTTGGATTGTGTTAGTTAATAAGTGCTCTTTGATGGCAAGACTTAGATGACATGGGTATTTTCATAGCTTAGACCTCTGACTTGCATGTATTTACATGCTTATATTTAAGAATTATAAGTAATTTTATGGAGGTCATATAGCCAGGTTACAGAAATTATCTGCAGTTAATTATTCTAACAATTTTAAAACTTCCATTAATTGTATTTAACTGCAGACTGCAGTTGCAATGTTCTTGAGCTATTGCCGGCCACAGAAGCCTAAAGCCGAATTTCTAATTTGATTTTGCTCATAGTTTAATCTTTTTAATTAGTTTGACTCTTGTAACAATCAAGTTTTTCATTAACTAGGACAGGCCACTAGTCAGAGAAGAAATTGTGT